ATCGCAATACCGATCTCCGGCCGCACGAACCTTGACGCAGTCCTCCGGCGTGGCCCGAGTCCGACGGCGTATCGCTCGGGAATCGCTGGGACTACTCGGAAGATAACCCTGGACGCGGACTCCCGCTTCCGTCTTCCGGATGCGAGTATACGATAATCCGCGCACGAGGTGATGCACAGCTCGCGGACTGGCGACGACTGAGGCGCGTCCGTGGTGCGGTCGACAGATAGAGCGAGTAGAGAACGACGTCCGTAGCGGCAGTAGCCGAATCTCGACTATCTCGGGTTCTCTTCGAGGGGACGAGAATAAACTCGAGAGCGACCCACTCCCCGCCGTCTGTGTCACACGAGCCGTATGACTTTCTGGATCTCAAACGCCGCCGTTCCACCTTCCATCTGCGCCGTTTCCGCTCCTTTACCAGGAATGCAGCGAGCGAGGCCGTAAGCGCGGCTTTTTCCAGGTCTGCTGGCTTAATACGACCAAGCAGCAGCGTTCGTTCGGTTTCCACCCCGAGGTTCTGGCGACGCTCGAACTTTGCCTCGCTTCTAGGCACCGGCTCTCCGTGCAAATTCAATGGCCCAGCTAATTAACGGTTTCGCCCGCCCGTACCCAAGCTTCGCTTGGCTTTTTACAACAGACGAGAGTAAGATTTACCGTTTTTTCGACGTGTCAAATCCTCCCTCCTTTTTTCACCTTCATTTTCCTATTTTTTTTTTTTTTTTTTTTCACCTGCGACTCGCTCGATGAAAAAAAAAAAAAAAAAAAAAACTCCGCTACGATTACGAGCCCGCGAATCAACGTGCATTTTGCAGTAACGAATCGAGTTTTTAACAAAGAGATTTATTTTTGCGCTCCTACGAGCGAGCCATTTAATCAAGAAAAATAGAATAATAGTTGGTCGGTATGGTCAGTCATCGTTCCTCGCTCTCGCCTCTCCTTCCGACGTCTCTCTTTCACTCTCAAACGACTAGTTAATGTAAAGCTCGTTTTATATCTTGAAATAAATGCGTGTGAAATGGCGAGTAAATTTCAGCCAAAGATATAAAGTTTGCCACTCTTTTCATTTATCAAGAATGATGAACGTTGAAAAAATTATGACATACTTGAACTTGAAGGACCAGCGCCGTACATAAAATGTAATATATTGTTTTGAATATAAAGCTTTATTCTACATTTTTATGCAGAAATATTATAGATAATTCAATTGTATATTGTAAGTTGATTATTTATCGTAGATGTTCATTGATATCGTTGCTCCTCGTTATTCTGCTTCTTTCACATTTTCGACGAAAATTTTTAGAAAGCACACGTAGCACTTTACGTGTATTTACGTATTTAAGTTGTTTTTCTCAATTCGTACGTCAGAGTCATAATTCACGCAATACTTACTGCAAAACTTTGATAAACATTAAAGTGACGTTTATATATACGTGCGCGTTACCCAAGGCACAAATGTTTCTCAGATTTTCATTGCAACATTGTGCGTTTCGTTGACAAATGCTATTTTAAACCACGCAATTGCCAACTATGTTCAATATCAATTAATTAAATTTACTAATATTAAATGAAACAATAAATTACAATGTATAAATTAATGTGATATTGGAATAAAAATAGAATTTAAAAGAATACGATAGTAGCGTGAGCAGCATCGACATGGCGATAAGAATTAATATCTAAATAAAAATAGCTAATAACTTAATATTCATCGTTATCGTGAATAAACTTACGTTATTTAATGCGCGTTAAGGTGCTGCTTAATATTTAAATAAAAATAACTCGTCAAAATTCTCTTCAACCGACAATTAAAATTTAGTAGAAACCGAAAAAGAAAGACAGAAAGAACGAAGAAATGAAGGAAGAAAAAAAAAACAAAACGAAAAGAATAATACGTGTTTATGAGATGCAAAAATTAATAAGCAATAAAAACTGTCGACGGGCATAGCTGAAGGGAGTGAGGGACTGGTAAAAACGAAAGTAGCAAAAGGATCGTAAAAGTGTAATTGCGACTATTGCAGAGAAGAAGGATGAATGAGTACACAAAAGAGGCACAAAGAGTAACCACAAAAGAGTGCCGAGAGTGGGAGAGAGAGAGAGAGAGAGAGAGAGAGAGAGAGAGAGAGCGAAGCTTTATATTAACGTTCTCGGTGAAAAAGAGAACGCAATCGCGCGAAACATGATTTCCTGTTCTTAATTCTAGATTTTTGCGTCGGTTCGTGGACCCCGTCGATTAACGACATTAAACGCGCCGCTACGCGCGCCCTCGGGGCTGTTAGCAAAAGCACGAAATATGTTTCCTCTAGAATCTATGTTTCTCTATATCTTCGTTTCGCAGCTAATAAAATAACTAATGGATAAGATTACAAATGTATACATATGGGCGCGGAATTACTTGCCTCTTTTGCTTATCATTTTAATATGCCATTTTCAAATCAGTCTTTATGAATTCTACTCTGCTTTATCATCGGTCAAGAAGACTGTGAACTACACACGGGATACTGATAATCTTCCCTAAAGTATGTTCACTTTACATTATTAGCTTATAATAGCTTAATTAAATACTCGATTTGTCCAGTGGCAAGGACATGCGGTTTCCTTAATATACCGAGAATTATAAATTCGATCAATTCAAATAACCACTTAGTAACAACTTAATAACTGACTAACCTATAAATTAAAAATGTCTTTCTATAATCGCAATTTTAATATGTGCTAGAGAGCGGCAATTCGGCCGAGCAATTTGCAATCGTAAGGCCAAATAATTATCCAAGATTGCCACATTTCGAGGCTCGTTCGAAAGCAATTTAAATAATTTTCAAGAAATCGAAAAATGGCTCCCTCAAAAGACAGAAGAATATATAACTAAAGACGATATGTACCGTATCGATCTAACACAAAAGATTCCAGTTGACATACTTTCGGAATTACGAGTACAAATGAGCCAAATGTAGCCTCTATGTGGCCGGCTGTGTTGTCTTGTAACTCTCTTGGCGTATTTAGCGAGTGAGATGAGAACGAAGAAGGAGTCCGTATTTTGAAATTCGCTACACGATCGGCAATCTCATTTGTGGATGGTATAGTGTCGAAATAAAGCGAAGTTGGATGGGATGTAGTGTAGAATAAATGAGGATGAAGAGAGAGAGAGAGAGAGAGAGAGAGAGAGAGAGAGAGACGGGAAGAGTAAGGTTGAATTGAGAGAGCGGGCGCTATCAGTGACGTAAGAGTCAAGTCCTAATCAGTGCAATGGTAATTGCTTGAATTTACGAACTATTATGATGTAAAGTCGCAGGCTTTGTCGGTAATGATTGTTCACTCATGTAAAATGCATTATTTTCATAATATCATCATTACGTAACGTGAGTTCAAATTTATCTGATAGTTGTGCTATTATTGATTGATAATTGCATTTGGGTAATAAATAGCCAAAGCGCTTCTATAATATAATTGTAACTAATAACATTCACGTGCGAATCATAATTTTGTCTATATATTTTTTATTACAGCACAATATCATTCCCAAGATATTGCAAAATAAAAATCTCATTGCAACATCGTTTAGGGCTATTATAGTTTAAAAATAAATTCAAAACGACTGCCTATTACAAGATTTACGGGTGTTTAATAATAATTTTGTGTAAAATTAAAATATCAAATTATTACTGCTTTTGGCTAAATGCACCAACACAATCAATTTTGTGTTTAAGAATTTATTAAGTACATATATTTAAATATTTATTCCGTAATAGATTCGATTTATTACTATTACTACCACTACTACTAATAATAAGAATAAAAATAAGAATAATAGAAAATCGAATAATAGAATTAAATCTAATAAAGAAATAATTATCAATGCAATTGAAGCAAATGATCGATTTAAATCACAGGATCTTATCGTTAAATCTTATCGTTATCAATGAATAATAATTATAAATCTCTAATCCAGGCAAATTTACACGCAATAATTTGCTACATATTAAGCGCGAAAATTGCGAATACGATTAATTATATAATTAACATGTCACAAACTACCAATGGGAAATGACAATTGAATCGATTACGTGTTAGTTGGATTAAAAATTGACGACATACAAATTTAATTGCCGTGTTTTCTGTCACACGTTAGATTAAGTAATTAAGATAGGAAATTGATTGTACCGCGATTGCGCCCATTGTCCTAAATAGCAAATAGATTTAATATATCGAGCTTACATAAATTTCATAGAAAATCATATTTTGTAAAATATAATAAGAAGTCTTGGTCGAGTTTGACCATTCTTAATCTTTACATAAATTATCAATAGGATGTTTACGCACCCTTTCCCCAATATGCATTTCTATGTTTGCATACTTTAAGCATAAGTATCCTTTCACATATATATATATATATATATATATATATATATTGTTTTCTTAATAATCATTACCATTTTTAAGCATTCAAATATATGTTTGTGTATGTATTAAAGTATCTGGATAATCATCATTTATTTGTCTCTTTCGGTCCGAGCGAGATAAATGTCGAAAGGTGTCACTTATCAGTGAATTTACGCATCGTAGCTTCCATAACAAACTGCTTTACCAGTCTCCTGTAAATAAAGCTATCGGCTGAGATTTTTTTCTACAAGCTACACCCGTTCAACGAATTGTATCTAGGATTATGACTCGAAAGCATTATCATTATTAGTCGAAGGATCAAACGACGTCTACGCTTAGCCTAACTACGGCTTTCAACTACATTACATACGGATTTCGATCACTTAATATACTAAATTATTGGACAATTTTCTTAAAAATGTGCTAAGTACCAGTCATTTATTTAACGACGAATCAGCAGCAGCGAATACCAAATAGTCGGCATTCATTTGCGCGGATTTATTAATAAAGCCGATCGAGTCGGCCGGCCACCCAAAGCGAGCAATTAATAACTCGCGCTTGTGGCTAAAAGTCCTGAGCCGTCCATCATCGAGCACAGCCAAAGGCCTCGTATGTATACTCACCGTCGTCGCTGAGCTCGAGGTTAGTGTAGCTGTCCCAGTGCAATATAGGATCGTGGTGGGCCGATGCGTGGGCGATGGCGGGAGTGGGCGCGGGCACGGGTCCGTCCTGGCGCCTTGGATCGTTGGCGAAGTAGAGGGTGACCACGCTGTCGGGTGGGCACCTTGGGTCGTTGCAGGCTACGTCGAGTTCCGAGCGGGGAAACGAGACGACGTTCTCCGTTATCACGCACGTATGAAACTGCAAGGTGCGTCATTACCATATCATCGGGGGATTATATGAAGAAGCGGCTCAAACGCCTTTCGTTATGTCTTGCGCTCATTGTTAAGCATCTCGACAGCCGAAAGTCGCCGCCTTTATGATAATCCATAATGGATGTCCTCCCTCGCTTTTTATATTCGCGTGCTCACACTAATAATGACGAGGAAGCGTCTAGGATGTCCAGGATAGTATCATAATAATTCTATGGTGATTTGCAAAATAGACACTATGCGATGGATATTTAAAGTGTACGTGGGGGGGGGGGAGACGAATGGAAGGATTTTTTTTTTTTTGTAAGATTATAATGGTAGGTAAATTAGTGGCCGTTTATATGGAGATGCGAGAGTCGATTGAATTTAAATTTTAAATTGGATTACTCGGTAGCGAAGCTTTGTCGATAATGAGACTTAAAAACTTGTGGAGAGAGAGAGCGCAGCTTCGCCTCTCGTCAACTCATCTCTTAACAAGTAAAATCATTTTAATCGAATTATCTACAAAACAGCTCCCACAATTTCATATAAAAAGCTCCGTAAGCTTCTTTACGGAGTCAAAATATTAATCAGAGGATTGTTAATTAATTAATTAGAGGATTGTTTGGAATTCCATGGGATAATGTATTGTTAAACGATGGAGGTAGGTCGGTAAAACTCGTTGATAAGAATGAAGTGATGAAACATGATTGAAAATAGGCTGTGCACGTACCTGCAACGAAAACATGACCTCGCGACCCTGATTGTTATAGATCCTGTGGTAGCACTTGACGAGAATGTCCCCGCGGAGCCTGAGGCCGCCGAGGTTGACCGTGAATTCGCGGGCGTTCGTGACGGAGTAGAGGTCGGAGGTGTACACTGGCGTGAGACCCTCGTAGACCTTAAAGAAGGCCCGGCATCCGGTAGGCTCGAACATCGGCACCCCGAGGACCGTCAGATGGGTGAGGTACAGGGGCGAGGGACTGATGCGTAATGAACCAGCCAATAGGCCGCTGAAGTACTCGATGTACCTATAAACAATCAATTATCAACTCTATTTATCAATCGACGCGATAAATAGAGTTTTGGAGAGAATTCCTCTCGGCCTCTTTTTATTCGATATTTGCTTATTATCGAATAAAAATTTACAAACGCCTCGGCGTCTCTTTTCCCCGCCGTAGACATAATATCATTAGCAATTTGTATATTGCGTAGGACGGGAAAGGTTTAGCGTTCTGATGATTTCGTCGTCGTCGTCGTCGTCGTCGTCGTCATATTAGGCCGAGTAAATGCGTTTTCAGCAAGGCCTGCTTTAAAGCGAATTTCTTATCTGCTAATGCGATAAAGGTGTGCTAATTTTGTTAATTAATTCGTGACTGTCCTTCGTTGTGGCGCATAAATATATGCTAATAATGCACACGAGTAGCGGAATTAATAAATAATAGCCGACTAAGCGAGCCTGGCGCCTTATGACCGAAAGGCGAAAAATCCGCGCGTGGAACATACATTATTAATCTCGCACTCGCGATTTATGCAAATAATCAAAGAGGTCGGGGAGGGTGGGTGGGTGGGGTGGAGGAGGAGAATCGAGCTTACATTGTCTGGGTTTGCGATCACGAGCATGACCAGATACTAAAACAAAGTTCTTTCGCGGTAACGTTGTATGAAAAATGCATTTTCATGGGAGAAGCGAAACTGGCTGTTCATACTGCTGCCTCGATTAATTAAAAGTTTTTCTTATTTCCATGGCAGTATAATATATTATAGTACGTCATTAGTTCCGAATTGAAAATCTATGTAAAGCAGCGAATGCAGATGTACACAAGAGTCGTGTAATTTTGTTGAAATTTTCAAACTGCTCATAGGAAGTCGATGAAAATTGTATTTTTTATTTGATTATTATTATTTTTTTTTTTTAGTTTATGATAGAAAAAAACAAGTCGAGAAATACTCTCAGGAATTGAAATAGATTGAGCAATTACTGTGACGATAATCTAATAATCTAATAAGACGATTAACGATACGACAACGAACCTTCGCCGCTATATAAGCAATATGAAAGATTTAATATTATAAAAAAATAATCGTGAAGAAGAAAAAACAACATTTACGATAAAATTATAAGAAACGAAGTTCTTCGTATAAGCAACTGGTATATTAAAAAAAAAATAAATAAATAAATAAATAAATAAAAAAATTAATAAATAAATAAATAAAAAAACAAAATACTTTTAATATACGTTAATAATAACTTGTTCTTATATATATTATAGATATGTCGTAACGCGCGAGTGTGTGGGTGCGCGTGTGTGAATCTAGAAGTGATACGAACGTACGTCTGTATTATTAATAGTTACTCGAAGCGTAAAATTTGTTCATCGAATCGAGGAGGTGTAAGGTCACTCGTGCAATTCTTTTAAGCGCACGATAAGAGGCAAAAGTCGTAAATAGAATAAATTTCCTCGAGAACAACGATTCTTGTAAAAAATTCGTGCATAAGCAAATATCTAATGTCGATCGCATTGCCATTGAGTAGCTGATATTCTCATCGCGACTTTTCTTTTCCCATTTTGGTTTTTTTACCCTCGTAATCGCGTTATGCAATGCAGGCCGAACCCGTAAGAGGCCGAAGGGCAGGAGCGACCGATCCCCGATGGGTCCTGCGCCTCTAATGGCTATGACCGTGGGAAACCGATTGCGGCCTCTCGACGTCCAAACGTAAATTGGACGCGACGTCCTGGTTGACGTAAAGTCCACACGTACGTCTACTCCATGCGCGGACTCCGCGTGCCGGTCGCCTTATCGATTTCGAAGTACACCAAGCTCGAGCTCGGCTGCTCACTCCCCGCGATAAAAAGGATCGATCCTTGGAGGTCGATCTCTTATAGGAGATCATTGCCGGTACTATGCCGGACGATCGTTTAATCGACTTCCCGGCTGTGTTTTCTTGCCCCATCGTATATAGGTAACGCTCGTACAAGTTTCTTTTTCTTTTTTTCCTTTTTTGTTTTGTTTTGTTATGTTTTTTTTTTTTTTTGTTATGTTTTTTTTTTTTTTTGTTATGTTTTTTTTTTTTTTTGTTTCATTTCCTTTCCTTTTATAAAAATAAATCGTACAATGATGCGCGATAAGGTATTTTGCTGGACGGCACTTCAAAGCATTCGGTTTCATCCACTTTTCAGCCTCTCGTTCTAATTTCCATTCCATTTGATTAAATACACTCGGGATCGCTTACATAATTGTTGCCTTGCGTAAGTCGCAGAGCTGCCACAAGGGGCAGTAAAAAATAATTTTCTTTTCCCATGGTAAAGGCGCACTAGAGAAATTAAAGAAACAAGGGGCCGCGAAGCGTTCTATCAATAGTTTAATGAGCCTTTGGTCGCGGCATTGACCGAAACACAACGCACTTAAATTAGTTCGCCTCGGCGTCGTCTAACGCAATATACAAACTCCCGGGGGAATTAAACGAATTCGAATGAGAAATAGCGGACATTTACCTTCTGTGCGAGGGCACGTTAAGTGGGCCGATTTTGTCGTCGAGAAATCTCCTCATGGCGAACCTATCGAGCGCCTGGTCACGGCCTCCGCAGATGCTGCTGTAGTTCATGTACGCTGATACGGCGACGCCCAAGCGTTCCTTGCCCCCTCTGCAATTTTACAAAAGGGACAGCAATGTCTGAGTGCACGGCTTCCATGGGCATCTTGATTTATCGTTACGGGAGGGGAGGCACGCGATTTTTCGATGATAATATAATGAACGAGGATGTAGTGCCAAATTGCCGCTAGTAAGGCCTTTCCGTATTATCGATCGAATCTTGGAAAACGTGTAATCAATATGTAAGACATAAATTATTATTATTATTATTATCACTCGTACAACTTTCTCGTAATTACGTGAAACAATCATATCGTAGATAATGCTGAACTATTCGAACAAATTTATTTTACATGCATACATGCATACATATATAATTGTCATAAATAATTGACTATTTTTTTAATAATAATTAATAATTGAATTGAAAATACTTTTACTTATTTTAGATATTCGATTACTTATCTCGTGAAAAAACCTGCTTTCCATACATTCGTTTTATCAATCGATCTGAAAAACTTTCTACCTCACCCCCCGTAATGCACATTATGCAGAATAGAACATAATACAATAATACAACATAATATAAAATATAATTGTAAATTATATTTGAAATCGAGCCGATTTAAGAAACGGATCGGTCCATCGTCCGATATAATGAGATTTTGCAGGTTGAGCTCGAATATTGTTTATTAAAGTAAATTGTTATCCAAGTATTCGTGAGCTTTACTTAATAATTATCACTTTTCCGGCTATGCACTACGATCCTCGTTCGTCTTACCTCTTACGCTCTTTCATCTCTCATCTCTTATTCGTCTATTTGCCAGCGATTTAAGCGAGTTTACGCCCCCCCCCCCGAACGAAGCACCTGCTTCCGTAACGGACAGGCTAATTCAATCTCCAATAAATTACGTACCTCGCGTGAAGGACGACGACGCGATGCGTAGCTGCATTCAACCAAGAGTCGAGCTCCTTGCAGAGGGCGCAAAGTCTCTCGAGACTCGGTGCCAAACCTTGTGGCCATCCCACCTCCCGCGTGTTCGGCTCGCCGCTCCGCCCCGCCGATGACAGGTTGAAGATCTGAAAACGTCGTGTGTCATTTTAACGGTCTTGAGGCGCGACTTTTCGCCAGTTCGCATCGCTTGTTATTATCGGGCCTTATCGCTAGAAAAATATCCACCCACCATCGGCATTATAATAATTAATAAAACCTTAATTTCTCGAATTGGATGCCCCCCTGCCTCGTATGTTACCACTATGGCAGTTAAATAGAAGCTCTATTATTATTGCGGGGACTAAGCGTAATTACGTAATGACGTCATTAATATTGCAAACCACGAAGTCGTGTACGCGTGTACGTATAATAATGTGTAATAATTCTTAAAAATGTTCTGACAAAATTTGCAAATTATACACTATATTGACAATAATTGTAATGAATACGTAAAAAGGGAAGATTGATACTACAGAGATTAAAAATCCATTTCGAGTCTGAGAACTTATACACAACTATTTATAGTCTCCTTGTATATATATATATATATATATATATATATATATATTAATAATGTGGAACTTGAAAATGTAAAATTTACGCATATATGATTTTTTGCATCATACAGTTATATTTCGTTCGACAAACACTCGTATTTACTCTCTCTCTCTCTCTCTCTCTCTCTCTGTCTCTCTCCTTAAATAAAACAAAATAAAAGAAAAAATAAAAAATGATGCTTGAATAATAGCAATTTAAGACTAGAACCGACAAATTACAAACAAACCATATAATTGTTGGCGTGTTTGCCCCGTAAGAGGGACGTTGCGTGCTCGAGGACCCCCCGAGCGTCTTCCCTGTACCATAGTGCTATTATCCTTTCGGTGACGTAGCAGAGCTCCATCACCTCGCTGACGCGGCCTCCGGTAGTGCCATTGGCCTTGCAGCAAGCGACCGTCGATGAGTCGGCGCCCACCCCTGGCGTCCTCTGCGACTTCGACGGTGGCGTCGACGATAAGAGCACCTGCAACGTTACGAGACGAATTTACGATTGTTCCGTTGCTCCGGGACTGACGGTAATCGATATTTGCGACCAGGATTAATGAATATTGACTTTGAGTGACGGTCAACGGATAATACGACTCACTGAATTCCTAATTCATAGGGATTTACACTCGGCTTTCTAATGCATTGATTTCACTAATGCGAATTCAGTGAAATTGCTTTATTTAGGATGTGTTCAAAGGATTATGGATTTTAAAGAATATTTGGGGATATCTGTAGTTGTTGGAGGCGTTGCTGGAAATCCTGCGGTACATGAAAATTCGAATGAAAAGCGGTGTCTCAGTTCATAATTATCAATTGTCAAATAGTATTTTTTATGAATTTGCCATCATGAAAATTTATATAAGTCAATTGATAAATGTAAAGTGCTTTACATATTCAATATGTTACGTGTATCTACTTCAATGCATTCAAGTTCACACGAAAATTAAATCCGATTCGTGGAAATTACAATTACAAATCCCTGGAATGTAACGCCACGCCATTTCATGAGACCCGCCTCCGAGATAAATATTTTTTATTGTTTTTTAAATTTTTATAATTTGATTTTTATAATTAAAATTCCATTCGATTTAATAATGAACAAAATTAATTTACATTTTATAAAGGTTTGAATTAATAAATAATGTTAGTATAGAGCATCGTGTTCACAATTTATTCACAATATATATTAACATTATGTATTAATTAAATATTAAAGTTATAAAATAGTTATATTATTATATAGCCGATAAAAAAAATTATTATAATAGGAAAGCTAGTGGCTATGATTTCATTTTATTAGTATTAAGTTAATAGAGTATATCTTACTTTGTTTGACTTGATATATATTGGATCATAGACGATTCTGATGATAAAAGTTTGTGGCGCCATTATGAAGTTTCGCTAGACCTTTCCGAATCCCTTAAAAGGGCTTAATAAATCGAATAACTATAATATAATTCTAAACTATCAGTAAAATTCTAAGGATTTTCTGTCATTTCTTTTTACAAATCATATTTACATCTAAATAACAGTTTAAAATGCAATTTAACGCAAGATATTTATGATATTTACTAGTAAATTAAATGTTTTATCATCTTATGATATAGCATACGTTTATTATTATTATTATAATTCTTGTATTGTAACAGCAAGGATTGATTATTATTGAGATATTATTGAAGTAGCACAAGGCATCAGCTTCAAGCTTCGATTAATTTGAATTTCAAAGTATCTCGATGGAACGATGAATGTAAAAGTTAATAGAAATTAAAAAAAAAAAAACAAAAAAAAAAAAATTGATTAGTTTTCAAAGTCTTTCTTGTCCTAAAGATCCTATCGCTACTGTGCCTAATTTCCCGTATAGATGAGTAATTTTGATGCCCCGAGCATTGCCATAATATGCTTTTAATTAAGACTGACTATCTGCCCCAAATACAAGTACCTCGGCCCCATACCTTGCCTTTATGAAAATTATATTTCGTCCTATCTAGGTCAATTTCGCATAAAATCGTGATGAAATTGCGACAACTTCTCTTATACGATATCCTTTTATAAGTTCCACTATCAATGCTACAAGCCCCAATGAAACTTCAAATTCACAGTCTCCCTTATTCACTTTACTTCGATCCAACAATACCCATACACGTAGTACGTGCATATATGCATTCCACGGATCACACTACGGGGCACACTGCGACACATTTACAGCTGAAGCGTTAAATGGAGGTGAAATGGTGATATTGACGGTGAGGTTCGGGCCCTCCTCGCCCATCCGCTCGTAAAAATCAGGCGACCTCGCGTCGAGGGGAATATTGCCTTTAGTGACGTATATTGCAGGCGTCGGTGTTCATCCAGAACATCGTAACTCGTACAACACTCGTTGCACTCGCCTTACTTATTTTTCATCGATGCGCCTTTCTGGGCGTACGCGATACTTCCGCGCACATCGGATGCCTAGTATATTACAACTGGCTCCGTTAGTCGTGGTTGGGAGGAGAGGGTAAGTGTCTCTCTCGTTACGTAAAGGATGATTATTTGCGCGATATTTTGATGTTTGGGTGGAGGTGGAGGCGAATAAAGTCGCGTTACGCAACTGGATCCGGATATTTTGATACGATTGGTAAATGTGTTGTGCGCGTAGCTATTTTCAATTTCGTGAGTGAAGCGATTAGCGATCGCAGAGGTTGATCCGATTGTGCAAGATTTGATAACGATGGCGTTTTCGAATTTGGAAAATGACGTGGAAATGAAATTGAAAAGGTCGAATGTTTTTAACGTTGGGTTAGTAAGGCATTGGTAATTGGTAAAGAGAGACATTGGAGGGCCGAGGAGAATTAAGGAAAATTTTTCAAGATTTTTCACAAACAGCAGTTGTAAGGATAAATTGCCGAATTTTAAAATGAAAACGTTAATCACTGCAATACAACATATAGCCCCATCTCTCTTCCAAGTTTCAAATAAGCTCGCGAGCCTTGACAATAAGTGAGAAAAACAAATATGAAATATTAAAGTATCCAGTCCAATGGCACTTGCTCGGCATTTAAAACACGTGACATTCATGCTCATTACTTATCATTAATGCTATTATCATGACGAAGCACTTATTAAAATATTATGTCGAATGAGAAAAGCAGAAAAACCATGGGCATAAATCGTGAGAGAATCGCTTCTATTGTTCCTCGGAAATGGATCGCATAACGTTGAGGCTGCAATGTGTACGCGTAACGAAAAAATTCAAGCCAAGGTCAACATTATTAAAGAAACTTTTGAACAAGCTGACTTAGAAGCAAGAAGCAGCTTCTATTCCCACTCTTATCGGAGAAATCTGGAGTAACGCGCATAAATAAATAAACGATATAGTTGTAACTTGGATGTATTTCTACGCAGAATCGTTGCTAGTCGACCCAATCGATTCAAGGCAATTTGATAAACACGAGCACTATTAATAATATTATTCTTCTGATCGTATTTATGAAAATTTTATTTCACCATACTTAGATCTTCCGCATTCGTAATTTATGATTTATTTCGCATCCACGCTAACGATAAATTATCCGACGCAACTCTTATCACAAATATTGTAAATCTCTCATCGTTTCATTTGTACGAATAAATTAAACTATTTTTCCAATGCACAAATTGCTTACTTATAAATCAGCCAATAGAAATATTTGCGCGTGGCAACAGACTCAGGCATAGGATGTTGTTAAATTTAGTAAGGCAATTCGTCGTTTGCCCGTGAAATATCGTTATTACGCATACGCTAATCTTTCTCGCTCTTCACTCAATTATACACTGTGTTCTTATTCTCAATTAATAATTGAAATTCAAATGTCTTTGTTAAAATAGTACGATGAGTACTACTGTAATAAACCACCGAACAAGACAGCATCATAAGGCACATCGCAATTTACGTTCCTACGGATCCTCGTGCTTACGTCTCTCTCGCGGCCCCGCTCGCCAATTTTACGAGCCAGAACCCAAAACCATAATCTCCGATTCGCTGATTATATTCGCGCCAAGTGTTTCTACGTATTTTTCATCTCGTGCGCGGGCTTCTGCTCGTAGGACATACAAGGAGCGATATTTCGTGCCTTGGAGAATGACACGACAAGGATATCTGCGTATAATGGGAATTTCACAAGTGCTCTTTCGAGGGATTTACGAGTAGGTACCATAAACGACATGTTATTTTAAGAATCGAGAGTTAGGGCGAGGGAATGTAGCTCATTTTGGCGCTTGGAAATCGTTAAATTTTCAATTTGCAGCTGCCGTCCCTTACTGCTAACTGCAAAAAGTAATTTTGCTTAGTAAAGTAAATGGTGAGTGTTGCGGCATATTGGGAAGGAGGGGGGGGGGAGGGAGGGTTTGGGCGAGAATGGGGCGGGGATGGGGGACCGGGGGGTGGAGGTAAATTTTGAAGAGGGAGCTGAAATTTTGCACTCTTACCTCGAATGTTCCACAAGTTTCTTAACTCCTTCATGAAGTAATCGTAAATATTATAAATAGAATTTATCATCATATTATACTTTCAGCATACGGCTTTTTCGAATATTTACATACTTAATCTGCGTATACAATCATAATATAGCTTTTCATTAGGTTAATCTAGTCTAATTTATTATTCGCTTATATTATATAGTTATGTGCTTAATTACAGATTTTTTTCATTAAAAAACAAAACAAAACAAAAAAAAAACAAAAAAAAAAAATTTATAACCTCAAAGTGGTGTGCGTACTATGTGAAATTAGAAAATCAAATTTTATCCAACTAAATTCTAGAGAGTAATTAATCTTAAAGTAAAGATTAGAATTGCTCTCCAAGTTTAGAAATTTCAGAATTTCATGCAATGTGCAACTAAATATGAGTGTCGTACGTATGACGTATATAAATCCATATTTGGTCTTTACATAGACTTCTTACAAAGTCTTATTATATAATCTTACAAATTCTTATATACCGTCCAAGCTGCGATGATGAGCACCAATTATATTAACTTGGTATATTTATTATCTTTTTAGAATTTATTCGACTAAAGCAGCAAATTTCTCATTAACAGATAAAGTAATTACTCACATGAAGGACGATTTACTTTTTTCAATATCCAAGTACGTGCTCGGGTCACTTAATGAGGATATTTCTAGCATATATATATATATATATATATATATATCGTTGTCTTGCGGTAGACATTACGAAAACATGAAAACTATTATCTAAAATTATTTTCGAAACTATATACATAACTTTATATACATAATTATTAATCTGCAAAATTATTGCATTACCGGGAATATAATCGACGATCGAATAATCGCGTTAAATTTCAAATTTTACGCTTATTTTATAAATGCATTGAAACGCAATTTAATTATATAGCATTGACTTTGGATTTTATCCAACGTTATATTCATTATTACGAATAATTTATTAAAATATCAGCGATGATAATATTATTATTCGACCATTATAAAGGCAATCGAGGCTAAAGCGTTGCCTCAATTTATATCCCTATTTTTTCATATTAACCGATATCCTTAACAACGACACCATTATCAACGACAAAATTATCAATCAAAAAATAAAGATTTTGTACAATAAAGCGAAATACTTGTAAAGCTATTCGATTGAGACGGATAAAAATTATATAGCCATGCAAGTGTGCGATGCGAAAAATTTATACTATCAAGATCCAATAGTTTTCAAATAAATACACAATATAAATATTTCTTAATTAATAGCGAATGAATTTTTTCAGACTTTATTAGAAACAATTTATCTTAATCTTTTTAATTTTCATTCCTTCATATTTGCATGCATAGGTTATTTATATTTGCCCCGAGATCATAAATTATGCCAGCGGTGGGCGTACTGTTTCATAGAGAAAATAAGAAGCCTATCGATAAAAATAAATCTTGGGTCAAACTTGGTTACATATCAAACACATCCAACTACGCTTACTTGAAATGATTTCGCATTCACGAATCGAAAATATTGATTTAAATGAACGATAAATAAATATATGTAGAAGGTAATACTGTTTAAATAATATCAAACGACACACCTGTTTATTAAAACAATTTTTCCTCCGTCTCAGAACGCAAGATATAGAAATGCAGAGAGAGGGAGGGAGGGAGAGAGAGAGAGAGATAGATAGATAGATAGATAGATAGATAGAGAGAGAGAGAGAGAGAGAGAGAGAGAGAGAGAGAGAGCGGTATGAAACAATGAAAGTTAAGGCGCAACCCGTCGACGCACCCACGCGAGCTGCAGGGGCGTTCAAGCATGAATTCGTCGCGCCGATTAAAATGGATCTAGGTAATTGCTCTCGGTGTTGCGGAAATACATCTTGGCCGTTCGCGGGCGTCGGGCTAAGTGCGCGAGCGCCACCTAGCGCCAATTAGCCAAACTCGCCCGTCATTGACCAAGCCATTAATTCGCGATCGAGGTGGGGAGGGCCTTTGTAGCCGCCCTCTGGTCAATGATTTACGAGGAAGCAGCAAGACGTAGTGGTTGATGATGAGCTTTGTGAGGCGCACCGCTTGTAAAAAAGACGTAAACATTCGGCGGAGGCTTCCTTCGCGCTGGCTCGTATGAATTTACTGAACGACGTCGTAAATTGCGGTCGCCGTTGGCATTTCAATTGTTAATCGCGAGCTGCACACGCGTGCGTTTTCTACCCCAAGTGAGCCGAGGCCTGCGGCTGCAGCGGCTTTTCTGATGCTCGTGCGAGCGTGTCGCTGGCTTTCGTTACGGGATTTTCAGGAATAGTTGCTATGGCGATTTCAGCTGCGTTTACGACGCCGCCTTTATTAATCCAGCCCCCCCCCATCCCCCATCCCCCATCCCCCTTTAGTTGAGAGCAGCATGAGGGGTGAAAGACCATTTAATGACACGTCAGTTGATAAGAAGCGACTTAATGTAAGACTTAATGCGAAGAAGCTATATTGCATCGGCGAGACTCCATTACGACACTCCACGACCAATGCACAAGCTGACTTTTCATTATTCCCGACTTTTTTTCAACGCTAATCGAAGTTACGAGACGCTGATACGGGGATGCGTGCTTTAAAGCTTTGTACAATTGTTTAGTCACTTCCAGCCTCGTACTTTTGACAATTCTAACGAATAGATAGTCCGCTTAAAACATTTTCACCAAACTTCATCATTCAATGATCATTTGTCTTTAGCATTTCAATTTATATAATAATCTTAGTCTCTTATAATTGTAATTTTAATAAAACCAAATTTTCTTCTCATTTTCTCGCATCCACATCCAATATTACTCTTTAAACACGTTAAATACTAAAAATAATAAAAATAAAATCAAAGAAATCTAGATTTATTAAGTCGAATAAACAACCTAAGTAATAAAGCGTCAAATTTCTTAAATGTATTTTGTATGTTTTTATAAAAGTCTATAGGAATTAGCATGATAGTAATCTCACAACATTAGCAAAGTAGGATTTGTAGACATTTATATTTATTTTAAAAACGATGAAATTTACCTGCTGCTGTTTATTATTCCTAGCAAGCGTCTTGTCATTCTTTGGCTGAGACTCGTAACTGCCATTGTGCTGAAATTAAAAAAAGAGCGATAACTTTCTAATACCTATCCTGTTAAAAACAATGATATATTTAAATACATGTATATGCATATGTGTATGTATAATAAAATTATATTAATTATCGATTATTATGTACCGAAGAGATATTATAATATAATATTTCAGAGTATTGCATCTGCAAAGCGGAGGACAAAAAATTTTATTACAATTATGATATAACGGAGTAAAAAATAAAAAAAAAAACAAAAAAAAACAAAAAAAAACAAAAAAAAACAAAAAAAAACAAAAAAAAACAAAAAAAAACAAAAAAAACAAAAACAAAAAAAAACAAAAAAAAAAAAATAAAAAAATAAATACCCGTTCATAGATAGGGCTTTATAATTTTCTTAAAACAATTGATAACCAATTTCGCATTTCATTTTAGCAATTTCGCAATTAAAACCAATCAGCTTCTATTTAATTATCTACTGATTATGTAATAAATTTTGAAGAAAAAACGCACCTCACGTTGTATATGAAGTGCCGTATACCAAAAGGCAAAAGCTATTCTATGCAATAAAGTCTCGGTATCTACTTGTTTAGCTACGGGTATTTGTCTATCTACCGAATTTCCATTTTGAAAATCATTGTGTAGAATATTTCTTCTTACATAAGCATTATGATAAGGACTTCTTTGAATCCATGTCGGTGGCAATGAGCCATCACTTAAATACGGCATCGTCGATACCATTTTTTTATTTATTTTCTTATTCGAATATGTTTATATGTTCAAGTATTTTCCTTTGGATTTTTTTTTCTTTTTTTTTTCTTTTTTGAAATGTAAATTGCGCGCCGCCTGTAATTTTTGGTCAAATATTTTTAGGTACGTTTTGTCGATGTTTTTAGATCCCCTAGGTATATATGAATGAAAATATTCTTAAATTTTTATAAAAATGAGAAACAATATTGTCTTCAAGTTTAATTAAATGTATATATATTATTTATTTATAACATGCACGTGGTTATATTTTAATTTTACAAGTTAAACAAAGTAAAATTCAAATAAATTATTCAAAGTAACTCGACACGAGTCGAGAAACTCACGAAAGTTGGTACATCTATTTAATTTATGTTTTTCATGTTAATATGAACAATTATAGTTAAAACATTACTTTTTCAAAATTGAGGATAAAAAATACGTATTACAATAAAAATACTATTACGAAGGTAAAAAAGCACCTAAGGGTATAGAGAAATTGGGGGCATTTTTTTTTTATCCATTTTATGGCAAACACGTACATTTTAAGTTAAAGAGGGCACCCGTTTGAACTTTATGTAGGCACTTATTTTTGGTACAGTCGTAAGATTAAAACGCCAAAGTATTTCGAAAAGTAGAGTCCAAAGAGATAAGGACAGAAGAAAGTGAAGGCAAGTGGAAGTCACATTTTCGAAAGTTAAAGACACTCGAGTGAATATTCTAGTTTCTTGTGCGAGGGGGATTGAACGAATCATTTTCACATAAAATATAAAAATATTATTTAACATTAATTTCCACTATTGCCAACCAATATATATATATATATATATATATATATATATATATATATATATATAAGAATCTCGCAATTCTCGTATCTTATTAATCTCTTTAAGCTCATATATGTAACTGTACAAAAATTAGTCCGAGTTTTTTTTGATATTTTACAAAAAAATGTCTAACATTATTGTACTAAAAATGAATATTAATCGCTTTTAATGTAATAACTCGGCATTATTGCACATATTCTTAACTTTATCACATGTTTTAACTGATCTTAAGAAACAGGTATTTTAAGAATACTTAAATATATTACGGATAAATTAAATTTTAAAACAAGTATTTTACATTACTTGAATCAATTAGTCATTGTGTTATAAAAAAATGTAATAAATCTGTTAAAAGAATAAAAAAAAAAAAAGAAAGAAAAAAAAAGAAAACGAACAAAAAACTTTTAGCATTGAATACATTTTCTACAAACGTGTATTAAAAATAATTAAAGAATACTAATTTTTGCAAATTAAAATTAATTATTGTTAATATTTAAAAATTACGTTAAATATGCATTCTTAAACTATGTCCTAAAAATTATATCACTTAAAATTCAGATCAATCGGATAAATAAATTAATTTACAAACTAAAAAATACCATTTACCTATATAGAGTTGTTTTTTTTTTTTTTTAACAAGCATTAATTATTATAAACTGAAATTAAAGATAATTAAAAGAAATTTCCCTCAATATTTTATTACTTTTACACATTATAGCAGCTTCATTGGTCAATTCCTACTATTACCATTCAAAAGAAAGATCTCATCTGTAATGAAGCACACCGTATAATAAATAAATTTCCGCCCTTCGCGATGTTTTACAACGTCGACGAAAAGTCAATCGGCTAAAAATCCATATCCACCATCAAATGTATCCTTGTCATCGGATGTAAGGTTCACCTGGGGGAGGTAAGCATCTATCCTCTTCCCGACCCCACTCCATTGTTAACTCTTTGCCCACTCTATCGCGAATTCAACAAGCAGTGTGAGATCACTAAGACCTATTCCTCCACTCCTCCTTCGCGAGTCGTCCCTATGAATTTCACTTACGGCGACACTTGCGCGGACAGGAAAGCGCAATGCCCTAATGACGGCATCTAATGGCGACTTTTCCCGGCTCCGAGATCCGGGGCAATTGGGACAAGGGACTGCGGGTGCCGCCCTAACGCTGCGATGCGGACTTTCAGTGAGAAAGAGAGAAGCCGATATCTATGGCGACGGCGCGGCGCATCAGCTTCTCGGTAGGCAGGACTGATCCTGCGCGGCGTCGCGACGCCACGACTCTTGTGCCAAGTCATGTGGCCTCTTTTCTCTCTCTCTCTCTCTCTCTCTCTCTAATTACAGAGGGACCTCTTATAATGCAGTTGCACGAGTAGATGCGAGAGAGTTGACGAGGTGATGCGTCAAAGTCATCAGTATTTGTTTGATCAAAAATATAATATAGATGTTAAGCGACTTTGAGGGTGTTAAAGCGTAATCTCGATCGTTTGAAAAAGTATTACAATTGCTATTGTAATAATAAACGCATATAGAGCATTTCATTTTTGGTGTATTAATTTTAACGATTTTCGCAAGAAAATCTACTACTTTCATATTTACACAAGACGTTAAATATTTACAAGATAAAACATATAAATTAATAGTGACTCTATTTTTAAAAATTAAGTACGTGTATATATACATATGAGACGTATATACATATGAGTATTTTCATTGTAGTATTATAGGCTGAGTATGCCAGATCCGTAATTTTATAAGCTTCACAGGTTATTTTATTGAATTTCTCAATTCCACTTTTTCTTCTATTAAACAAAATGTTATTTTATGTTCGCAACGTTAATACAGTTAAGACGGTCTTTTATGTATAGATAATATGCCTATTACTGCTTCACTACTGTTTGTATATTGGCACACGTGCGGTAGGAAAATGCAAAAACATTGTAAGAGAAATACTTTAATGAGTTTAATTTAATGATATTAAGTTGCGCCGAGAACGGCACTTATATATTTCTGAATAACAGTTTGTTAACATATGAATTACGAAGCTCGTAATATTGATTCTTAATTATATATGTATTTTCTCGCGAATGTTTCTTTATGAATTATTTACACATTTTACAATACTTACAATAAAAAAAAAAAAAAAAAAAAAAAAAAAAAAAAAAAACTTAATTTATTATCAAACACCAATTATTGATAAAATTATGATTACTATTTATATAGAATAATAATTATTCTTTTACTACCAACAACTTACGAAAAATACCAGGTTCTACCAAATGATTATTACGATCCTACCACATTTCGTTCAATATTATTTATGCAGAAAATATAAATAATAAATATTTCTCTAACGAATCCTTTTGATGCTTCTTGCGTGAAAAAAGTTATTAAAAAGCAATCATAAATTCGAAAACGAAACGTCATAACTAATATAATCAGTCGAATGACGCAATTTTTACTGACGATAAAAACAATATTACGTAACATAATTTCTGATGCTCAAATAATATTTGATAAAGCATTTAGATCGTTCGAAACTAGGCTTTTTTGCTATTTAGATTTTTAGAAATATAAGATTTTTTTGGTAATGCTGTATGCTATGAACTTCAAAAATAACATTGAGCGACGTAATTTCATAACGAAGACCAGAAATCGTAATATAAAAAAGCTTGAATAAATTCGCTTATACTTGGTTAAATATTCATGTAAATACAAAAATTTGTATCCCGTAAAAATAAAGAATTTATTTCGTAAAGGATGCAGAGATAATGCACGTCTATTCTTCGGCTGAGACAGAAATAGGTCATTCCGAAACCTTACGCAATATTATTCATTCCACAGATTGTCTTTTTTGAGAAAATAAAAACAAAGTAAATGTCTTTCAGCCTCCGAGCGGGCCTAATTAAGCCAAGAAATAAATCTGACCAGTCTGTTTCGACGAAACGTGTCCTCTCCGCCTCCTCCTCCTCTCGCTTATCCGCCACCAGGAATCGGCCCTTTAATGTCACGAAATCTCGTCTGACATTTGAGATTTCCGCACGCGCGGAATCGCAAAAGGGCGAGTGCTACGTTTAATGGCCGTTTTCGTATGCGCGCCACGCGAGTTACAACGTCGGAGATGAGAAGGAAGCTAATGTTTTATCGGCGGTATGCATAAGGGGGAATTGCCTCCCAAGATAAGGAATTTTCGTTATGTTAATGGAGAGTCGCGTGCGTAACATTTTCATAAGTTTCGGGCATTAAATACTTTCACCGTACGGATTAATTATGCCTCATTAAATCCTCTGTATTGATTATTTTCCACGGAGAGACACAATGTACGATTGAGGCGACGACATTCATTATTCATCGATCATTGTTATCCATCATTTACCTTTGTAAGCGATGCTCTCAATTTATGTGACACGATGGCAATTCCTTACATAGAGAAAAAGAGAAT